CTTGCTGCATATGGAAAGGTACCACCAAGAACGTCATAGATTCGGGATCCCATTTTCGTATAGTTTAAGTCAGAGAAAAGACTCGCAACGGTAGATTCATGCAAGGATGGGCTCAGCTTCCCTTTACCCATTCTTAGCACAAATCTACAGCTCCTTGTCCATTCTCCTTGACAGAACGGTGGTCTTGACAGAGAAAAGGTTCATTGGTGGGTACATTCTAAGTAGAATCAATCACTTCTGTAAGAGTGGTGGTTTTGGCTCTTAGAAGGGTACACCATGCGTAGAATCAATTTCTCCTAGAAGAGCGGTTTTTCTGAGAACTTGTAAACTCGTTATTTCCACCAGGATGCTCTGGTTCTCTGCCCCGAGGAGTTCCCCCTCACTGGTTCTTGTCAGAACCCCAAACTCCTATAGAAGAGATTGATTCCACATGGTGTACCCACAAACCTCTCACCCTAGCCTCCATCATGCAAAGTTTCACTTCTTACTGTCAGAATTGCTTTCTGATGGTCTCCGCGGCCGCTGAACGGATGTTCACAAAGAACAGAACGTTGAGTATTCAAGACATCGCCAAAACACAGCAAACGTGACAGTAACTTACTGGCCCCTTACTGACCATATGTATCTTTGCCCCATCACGTCTTAAAACAGCCGAAAGACAAATTGCATTTTCAATCCTGAGGGCAGAATTTACAGTATCAATGTCATCCTCAATGCTTGAAAAGACAACTTACGGTCACTGCGGAAGACAGACTTCTCCTGGACAGACAGCACATGTTCCTTCCACTCTCACAACCATCGCTGCTTCTATCCACTTGCCAACAAGTGCCCTAACGATTAAAAAAAGGGAAAATTGGGCTGGAGAAATAGAAAGACCCATTTCTGTCATTTAACATGAATGATTCCAAAGCAACTGTCACATAGCTGGAACAAGCACAATACTGTTTTAAGCTAGAAACCCTGGCAGACACATCAGACTGCACCGTTTGCCAAAGTGACTTGCCTGCCCAGTGTAACAAGATCCAACAGGTCAACTCTCCCAAAGGCCAAACAGCCTGGCAGTCTGTGGTTGCCAGTCACCACAAGATCCAACAGTGGCATCGTTCAATGGGATTAGCTCCCCTTGTTGCAACATAGCCTGTGCATCTAGCAGGGTTAGGGTCAAGTTCAGTGTTTGTAAAGGGATGGTTTTACCCTTTTTCTTGTCTTCGTCCAATTCTCAAGGATGTAAGATGCGGCCCTCTTGATTCCACGAACGGACTGTCATCTTGCCTGATCCTTCATCAATGCTCCAAGAAGGGGGGGGTACTACATGTATTATGGAAACAAGGGGACTGGTGTGTGGAGTAAAGCTAATCGTAAAATGGATAAAATAATAAAAACATATCTTATGAAAACTATCTTTGAAAAAAAACCAAATATTTGGTTTCATTCCTGTTATTTTGAAGGACTTGCAAATACAAACTGTTCAAAGATTCAACTTCTGGCTTTCATCGGTAACTCCAAGACAGGTATACGGTTATGTTCTCAGCCAGAAACATCGGTCATCATGTCTATAAAATGTATAACATCTGTCACTGTGCAACAATGTGTCTTTAGTATTTAGTTTAATTCTCTAAATAACAACGGAAATAAGCATTTTGCGAGCTAAACTTGAATAAAATCTGGTACCCGGAGTTCTTTAAATTCAAGTGAACATAACAATTTGAATTCTCTGTTGCTATGATTCGTGATTCCGGGCAAGGTTCTCCTTAGTTTACACAAGAGACATCTTGCAACAATACACTGTTCTTGACGGATAAAAAGGGCACAAAGGAACCAGTCTATTCCAGAGATGGTGGTCGCTATGCAAAAGTTTGCCCCGAATCACAAGGTGTATAAATCAGTCTGAACATTTTATCTGTGAAATTCGCATAAAAGTACCAATTTTCCTTGGAATCACCCTGAACTATATTTTCGTGGTGCTTTCAACACGGGGGCCAGGGTTATTTGTCCGTGAAATACCCCTTGGAGAAATCCTTTTTAACGCGGTCCGCGAAAACCTGTTGAACTCACCCGTGGGCAGTCAGGCAAGGGCCCGTTACTTATTTCACCGTACTGAGGAATCCACGAAAAGTCCGCAGCATTAATCACCTTAAATCAACAGTGTAACGGTCGTTAGGTTTCCCATTCTTTGATGGCCCGTGAAACATTGGTGACAACTACAGTCCGAAGTGTTGCGTAAACATTGGCTCAGCAAGAGCAAAGACCCGTAGTCAGTGTAAACAAAAACAGGTCAGGGCCTAACCGGCATGAGATTACATGTACGGTACATTAGCCAGCGTGCATAGCCAAATAGCGCCAACGCAGCGACTTTCCAGAACCCTCGCACGGTCCGCCTATAGGGATTTGGGCCTTCCTATCCCGTTCGATAATTTTGGGAAGAATAATTCCTAACTGAAACCACCCCATGAAACACTCGTGTTGGAATTTTATTTTACCTTCGTCTTCCTCAAGTAATATTTTGGGAAAGTCATCAGGAGATTGGTAAAAACAAAAGTAACTAGGTCTCCTTGTTCATACGCGTTTGTTTCCTTTCCCCGTGCTTACATGAAAACGAGATTTACAATGATGCAAAGCTTTACCTACCCGAGGTCAATGGGCTCCAGAACCGTTAATTGACATCGCGCAGTTGTTGTCAGCAAAGTTAGATAAAATATTAAAATCTTTCGCAAAAGTAGATTATTGCTTTAACTTGATTACCTTATAAATTAAAAACAACCAGTAAAAAGTTTTAATCAACAGACTACCGTAAAATTTCACACCGTAAATGTTGATCTGCGAGCGAGAATGCCGAAATGGGCGGTTCTTTGTGTATTTTAGATTTTCGGAAGTGACGAGTCAACTTTTTGACTGGATATTCCTCTTGTAGGCGAAGTAATTTTCAGTTTCTGTAACTAGTAAATGTACAGTATACTCCAAAGCCCTTTTTCTGAGTTGGATTTTTAAGAAGTAATTGAACAAAAAAATATTAGAAATTCTCAAATCTTTGCACGTTATTTTGCCTATAAACGTTATTTTTCCTCTAAACGTTATTTTTCCTATAAACATACCGCCATGTTTAAGGGTCTGTCTACCTTGGTCCAGCCTTCTTGGCTTGCTTTCCTTCCTCCATGGTTCCTGCAAGTCATGGGTTATTGTGGTAGCTCGTACAAATGAGTCAGAATTTTCTAATCGCACTGTAGGCTACTTGTAAGAACTAACACAGCACGCGCAAAATTACATAAGCAACATGCTCGGGAATCCCTTGCAGGATTAGTTCGGTAAGCACCGGTTAAACATCTGTGAAAAAACCATTAGGGATTAATTTCACCGAAAGTGGTACTTTTAGGAGAATTTCATGGTTAAGATGTTCAAAGCAACAGTGTCTTTAGTCTGGGGAATTCAAATCGTTGTGTTTATCATGCAATCAGATTTAACTCAGTGTACCAGATTTTATTCAAATTTAACTCGCAAACGGCTTATTACAACCATACAGGTTTGACTGGCCGCACCAAGTGGCAACTTCAACTTAAGTTTCAAAACAGAAATGGGTTCAATTTATGCCTGATCTTCCTGACCCGAGAGGGGAGGGGAAATTTCCTCTCCCCCCACAAACAATGACAAGATTCCTGCTTGCCACCCCACGCAGCCCCACTCCCCTTCAGAAAATTTCTTTCCCCCCCTTTTTTCCCTTTCATGGGTGGAGCGTGAAGCGACCACGGCTGCTTAGGCTGCATCCGAATCTCTTGTCTACGGCTAGGTCTAGGTCCTCGCTCCAATGGAAATGTGTAGAGACGGGCAGACAATAGACCTAGCCGTGGCTCTGGAAGCCCGTTTCGGACACGGCCTTAGTTGCGATTAAATCAGAAGGGTGAGCAGATGTCAAGTACGTATGCATGAGCATTAGGTCATGCCTCGACTTACATTCCCCAATCATCCAGTCATCTCTTACCTGAATGAGATGTACGTTCGTTACACAGCTGCACGTTATGTGAACAGGTGGAGTCCAGCATCAATGTGTGCCTCTGTGGAGAAGAAACATAGGGTGTGTTCAATTAACAAATGTAACCTGGAAAAATGGCGCTCGACGAGGAAAAAGAAACTCAAACTAAATGAAGAATCTTCGAGGGAAACCTTGCAGGGAACTAAACTGGTAAGGGCTTAGACACGTACCATTTCTAGATATATCAAAACCAAAACTATGATCAACACCCCTCCCTAAAAAATGATGTAAAACGAAAAATTAAAGCAGGCTCGAAACCAAGCACTACAAACTATAACTACAAGTTAAACCACAAAAACAGCCGGGGGAGGGCTAGGGAATCCCCCTGAAACAGTAACTCTTTGTGGTCATTTTGATATCAATTTTGTGAATATCAAACATTGCGTTCTTGGGCAGTGCCCATTTTTCCAAGACAGCTACATGCATCAGCCCAAAATTTAAACCTCTCCGCTACCATATTCAATGCAAGAGGCCAGCACACTGCACATACATGTATACGTATGTGGTCCTGAACTTCAAATGGCCATAACAACAAAAGCATACCTGTACGTTGAATTAGACGCATGGAGTTTTTAAAAAATGTGATATTAATTAACATTCCGTCACCACAACTGCTGGTGCCTGGAGTTTTGATGTGATCATCACCAGTAAAGGTCCTATGAGCAAATCACTGTAGCATGGTGCCAAGATGACAAAATTATAAATAATTCACCAACAGGCATGATGGTCAGAGAATTTCAGTTTGGGCAAATGAATTAACATGATTAACTGCTGGGCGAATTAATCAAAAAGGTCATTGAAATATGGGTGTATGTTGCTCAATACTGTTCATGGCCGGGGAGCTTTTCCGAGCTATACGCAATCACACGTATGAAGCCAAACCACAGTTCACAACCATGCATGATGCATGACATCTATGATGCTCAACCGACCATAAAAACTTCACGTGTGAAATTAGGCTCCCACAACATTCGGGCTTTATTTTCCTTTAAAAAAACCTCCCTGCCCACAATTTTGAACTGGAATTCGAACCCACACCCCATACATCACAAACCATTATGCTGTAACCGCTTGACTACCGCAATTCACACAGGTTGATGGTGTTTTTACTGTTGATATACCGATGAACGGCTGTAACGCGAGTCTAATACACAATATAAGCACAACCACGATGGTTTGGCTTCATACGTACATGTATGGATGCATAAATCGCTTTTTCCCAATGTTTACGCTTTCCTCTACTTGTTTCCAGTTTGGGGACGGGGCCAAGGATACGGAGATACCCATACGTACATTTAGTCCACTAGACTGGCCCTAAGTATAGTCGGGTCCTCTAACATGTCGCTCTTTGACCTTTCCTTGACTTTCCTCATGCATCATTGCCAAGTCTCTTGGCTGAAAAACTTTCAATTCATTCAGTTAAACAATGACAGTATAACACATACATGTACTCCTGATCAGGCCTGCCCAACATTCAAAAATAACAGCATCCTGAAACTGGCACAAACTCAGCTGACCGTTCCCTATAATTAAGGCACAATGGAACAAATCTCTGGAAATCCCACATCCCAAATACATGTAAGAACTTCCTGAAAATTGACAAGTACTCCTAAAACTTTCGAGTGGTGGAATATTCTGCAATTACTCCAATTATCGTACGCCTTACCCTAATACATACAATTTTTTTTTTTTTCAGAAATGTACCGGTAGGCCTACTTTCTTCATTGTGGTCACAATTTCAAAGTGTTCATTTTGCATTTGGGTCATTCCTTGAAGTTCGGGCACAGTTTGTGACGGCGTCCCTTGTTACATCGGTAACTTTTATGGCCCATTATTTTCATATTACAACAGATTAAGTAATATTATTCAGCAAAGATGAAGCACACCACTACAAGAACCTAGCAACAAGGGACGCTGTCACAAACTATGCCCGAACTTTGTGGAATGACCCATTTAAAAAAGGGGAAAATAAAGTCAATAGACCTACACAATGTAATTGCATAGGCTTTGGAAATCTGTGGCAGGTGTGCAGTGGTACGTGAACTCATGTATGAATGATCCTTTTTAAAGCTCCATAGTACAGTGTATGAGGCATGTGCACAGGCATGATGTACATTCTCGGCGCGGTCAATGGTCTTTCAGTAAGCCTTTTTCACGTTTCATGTGCATGGGCTCAGAAGACTTAACAGAGTGGAAAAAAATTCACGACAAGAACATCATGTCACGTTTGGCGAGTGGATGCAAGCAATTGTTGTTGATGTAGTGATTCTTATAAGTTATAGTCAGTGATTACCCCTAATGGGGGCGGACGTCGGACCCCATCTGAGGGTAGTCAGTGATGCCATCCCGACCGCGAGAATGTACATATACAGTAGGCCTACGGGCCATTGAAAGGTTGTGATGAATTTTCAGATACTGTGAAATTTGAGAAAGCGGGAGAAAAATCCAAGTGCGCTAAGTGAAACTTTAGGGTTTGGTGCAAGGATAAATGCAGCTTAGCCTACATCATACATGTGCATGTATGTAGTTTGTAGTTGGCCTAGTTATGTACATGTACGTATATAGCTTACTTCGAACTTTCTCGTTCAGATTCGAAGTGAAAAAAATTACTGAACAGAAGCAGTGAAACGCTTGGTAAAATGCTAAAACTAACAGCAATCTCTCGTGTATCGATAAAACACTGGGCACAGATTTTGAATGAAATGTCTCCACACAAAAATGAAGGTACCTTTCGTCTGCTTGCTCCAGGCGCGTGGATTCTGTTACAGCGCCCCCTATATATGATTGCATTAAACAAAATAGAAAATGAAGCATCACTGACGAAACCCATTCATCATACACAATTTATTTAGCCTTCAATCAGTCTTATTTTATTTACCACCACAATAGGGTAAATACACATTATTAAAATTGATTAAATAATAAGGGTGGACGGGGTCCAGCCTTGTGAATGTTCAACTTTTTAAAATTATTTTATGATGTTGTTTTTTGTCGATCCACCGATCAACATCCTTTGGGGATTATTTTACCCCCTGTATTTGTTGTTACAACACAAAAAGCCTTGCCCAAAATAAACACCAATTTGGAATAGTGAACACCATCGGCACTGTGACAAGTTTGCATATGTGATGGACAAGGCTAGACCACGCAAGTGTGCAGAATACCAAATGCCTTTGTTTTAAGAACGCATTCTTGAAAACAAGGAAACCTAAGTCAATCTTATCTGCTTTGGTTTCGCTACTTAATCAGTTTAATGTGCTAAGTCGTCCACATAGCCACCATTCCTGTCAATGCACATCTGACATCTTCGTAACATGTCCCTTACTGCTCGTCTGATCATGCCAAGGTCTTGCCAGAGATTACTGACTTCTTCCACTATTCTTGCACGTTAACTCCTGAACATTAGCTGAGGGTGTAGTGAAAATTTGGTTCTGCGGGTAACGCTATAAAAAGAAATCGCCTTCACCCCACATGCTGACTTTGGTTATCAATATGCAACTTCTCCCAGTTCTTAAAGCAAAAGCATTTGGTATTCTGCATACTTGCATGGTCTAGCCTTGTTTTAATTACATAACTTGTCACAGTGCCGATTAGTACCCTCAACACCGGTCTAGTTTGTTAACTCATCTGTTTCAATAACATCACAAGCTGTACACCATTGCAAAGAGGGCATTCTGTCCTTTCTAGAGATATATTTCTCTTTCCCATATATAAAGTAGTTTTGCTATCATGATTACAGTAATATCCTCATCTCAGTATACTTTTTATGTGGACACCCTGTATTTTTGTTGTAATGGTCTCCCCGAAAGGTTATCCAAATTTTCAGCTCAATATGGCTGACTTGTGAATAAAGTCAACGGGCTCTCGTGCCTCGTGACGAAATGGCTGTACGATATAGAACCGCGAATGAGCAAAGGACTTGAAGCAGTTGATGCGAAGAAGCACCAACGGGTCGATCTGATAGACAAAAAAACTATTTATCTGCATCTCCTTAACCGACTACGGTGATGTATGTTTTGCCAACTTTTCTCAAGTCAAGCACCTAAACCCTTGCAGGGCCCTCGTTGTCCGTAGATTAACAGAAATTCCTTTCCGAGAGTAGATGCTTGAAATCAGTCACTGCCTCGGTGCACTGTTTACTCTGTGATACACTCGCCATCGAACTCTTTTCCTCTCCGTGGCTGGTTACGGGTTGGGCTGCGCCCATAGTCATATTTTCCAGACATTTTTTCAACAGGTTGGCGGTGTCATTTTATGATCCATCGATCTTTGCAACTCATTCAACTGTCCACAATGTAAAATTGCTGAGGCTATGCACATAAAGCTCACACGCCACCACGCATGAGGAACAGAGCAATAATTTTTTCTCCCCCAAATGTGTTTTTGAGAACTGTTCTAACTAGGCCACAGAGAGGTTTTGTTTGGTCTCACGTCTGCCATTGCTTTACTAGAGACGCGCTGTCATGCCATAACAATGCTATATGGAAGCACTCAGGTACGTCCAAACGTCGCAGTTTACCAATGTCAGTGGTGAATAATTAACAAAGGCCTCGATTTATCTGTTAACAGGCCGGCCAAGTTTACTTTAGGCTGGCCATTGTGGGGGCGGGTGACATTTTGGGGCGCTGCAGACAGACACGACAGGACTACCTTCATGAAATCATGCGAAGTACCTGTGTAGCCTACCGTTCGTGGCGGTGAATTCTCACAGAAAAAAATTGATATCTGGCATGCGATGTTGAGATAAAAATAATGACCAACGTGGAGAATATAACTTAAGCAGCGCACCTGACCCGTTTTTGGAGCAGCATAGTTTCAGAATATTTCATCGGCTCACACTTGTCAGAATCTGTCGACGTAGCATACTCGGTGAGTTATGTAAAGCACACACTAATGTTCGGTTGAGAACTTGAAATAGGCCTACAAGTGTGAAACACAGTCTTCAGTGACTTTGTTTAGGGTAGCAATATTCGCAGAATTACAGACCAGGCATATCGACACAATTTTTGGAAATAAATGGAACTTTTAGGAACTGTTCCGAGCTCTGGATATTTTCACATCCGTCTTAATTCAAAATTGGAACAGGAGGGCAGGGCCCTAGTGTTTACACTATGGTACTGCTCCTACAAGTGAGATAGAATAAGCATGTCGTATAATCCGCGCGAGAATTCGATTCACATGTCCGTTGTATATGCGACTGTGAGAACTGACTTATCATGTATTTTGTTTCTTGGTCTTGTTTACCACTAAGTCTGTACATTTATCAATTCAAATAATTTATCAACTAAATTCAGTAACTCGAGTTAACGAAGGTCACGTTACACTGATCAACTGTTTGTTTACTGATTAGTTCATCTTAGATTTCTTGTTCAACGTCCATTTAAGTCTTGCTCATGAAATACATATTCCTGTCACATTTGTCCAAGTGTTGTTGCTGTTTTGAGGCTTTCCTAACATATTGCTTCGGGCAGTTTTTGCACAGGTTTCCCGTACGATGGATGGCACAAGTGGCATTTTAAAAGAATTGCAACCGAAAGGGCCCAAAAAATTCAACGACTCACTGTATTCCGCCAATACTTCTCATAAAATGTCTCATTGTGTTTAGCATCTTGGAAAAGTCCTGCTTGTGACGTTTCCTCTAGCAAAATCACTTGCTCAACTACATTTTTTTTCAAAGTAAAAATAAATCTGAATATAACAACATGTGACATTCTTAGTTTCCACTAAAAATATGCGGTTTTTTTAATGGAAAAAAGGCGTATTTTTTCAAGATGTACTTGGTTTTTATTTTTTCTGTGATGAAATAAGATGAAGCAAATACTTTAAAGCAATGTCACAATGGAATATTCCCAATATTTGTTAGCCTTTGGAAATTCCAGGAAAATTTCAAACCCTTTGGTTCTCTACGTTCGTTTCAGTTTTATTAGGACCACAGATGTGCCCAAAATTATGTCCCACGGTGAAAGGTACGTATTTCTTTGTCGAGAAAAAAACCGAGTTGCTTCTTGGTTTTGAACAGCCAGCAAAAGCCATAGTTTTCTTGAAGTGCAGTGCACACCTGTGAACATGTCAACTTTGTGAAATGCAGGTACAGTGCTGCAGTGCAGTCGCAGCTGTGTACAAACTGTTGGTGTAATACTAACACCGTTGGTTTCGCGTATAGGTCAGCATTAGTGGGGTTCTTTTCTTCGTGGACACCGATGGTGTTTTGTTTACACCAATTCAACTCCAAGGTTTTCGTTGTAAAGCTCTTAAAACCCATTCGATCGGCCGCTCAGATGAACTTATAGACGGGCATTCACGCGTCACAGCTGACCTGATTGTGCCTGTCAACTGACCTTCACCCGTAATGAGCCAGTGGCGTACACGAAGCTGAGGGACCCGACCCATAATTTTGTGGAAAATGGGTTAGAACACTGCAAATATGTCGGGAGAAAATGATGCAGTATTCCTGTCAATAGAGCCCCCCTTTTTCCTCCAGGTTTGCTTGATCGTTGTCTCATTCCTCCACTAAAGAAGGCAAGCCAGCATGACGAAGGCCGTAGCTCTGCTTCTGCTAGTTGTCGTCGTAATGGCAGTGGTCGCCATGCCAACGGAGGCCAGAATAAGAGGGCGCAAAAAGGGCTGCACGTAAGGTTTCAATCTTCTTAAATATTTCTTAACTCTCCCAGTATACAGTACCTGCTGATGTATGCCCTTGGTATGAATTTGAAAGACCCAATTGGGCTTACAAACTTCAGGAATATCGTGCTTTAAGAGGTGGCTTAACGTCACGTGACTTGTCACCTGATGAGGTCATCATCACATGATGTCAATCCGTTTCTATCAATCTGCAATGTTTCAACCGAATCAGACACGTTGTCAGACACACAGGGTTGTCAAGTCGATGAAGGATCAGCAGGATAATGTTACTATGTACCCCTCGTTCGTTTGTTTGTTTTTCCTTTTCTCTTCCCCTGTTTGCCTCAGTTTTTGGGTGCCTGTCGTTCCATGAATTAATGTCCGAAAGAAGAAAGACATGGTTATGGCAGACTTGTAAATAAATCCTTCTTTCAAAAGACAAGGAATGACAGCACCTGCAAAGGATGTGAGCAACATTTTGCGGAACTGTACAAGTTATTTTACCGCCCCTGGCTGACCATTTTCAAGCGCTGTTGGTACAGTGCAGCTGACCGCTTTTCTCGAATGTCCGTTGCGCAGGTCCAGATCCGGGCGGGCTGGTTACTGTAACAGCAACGTGTCTTTCTTTAAACGGCTCTTGGAGGAGTACAGGAATATGTGAGTATCAATCAAGCCCTTGCTCTTCTCCAGGGAAATCGCAGGTGTTTGAAGATACCAAAATTACCTCACTGCCTGTTAGTTGTATGGGAAGCCAATGTTTGCAAAGATGTCATCACAGAGCAGGCTAGTGGCGTAAAATTACTTGTATCGAAAATTGGGGCATTATGGTTAGTGGGGGATGGAGTTGATCGACCATGGGAATTTGAAAGAGCGCGGGAGGTGACACCCATAAGACACTATATAGGGGACGGTGCTCATGATACAGATGTACATCTGTAATATGTATTACATCCATGCGGAATCTAACATCAAAAGTAGCTTTCTTGTCTTCCCTGAATGATTGATTACATTTCAGTCGTTGGGAAGTTCGAAAATTCTTCACAACCCACTTTAATATTTGCTCACCACAAAAAAATAGTTTCGTTATAATGTTTAAGAATATCTATCCCTGGTAATCTTTCCTTTCCTCTGTTTGATCAATTAGAACATCGACTCTGCTTAATAACTTTATTTACATGATCGTGTCAGTAAAGTAGATGTACTGGCTGACCAACTACGGAAAAGAAATGATTGCCAAGAATCAGTTGAGTCTTAAGACCAGTGATTCAACACTTTAGGTCCTGGTGTATGTAAGCCGTTAACCTCAACCGCAGCATCAAAGCAGATGAGGCTGGTATCTTGACGCTGGTATGTACCTTTTGTTTTTCTTCAGAACTTCAGACGCAGCGCCAGACGGTGATGACTTGGCCACGCGAGAGGGCGCTGACGACAAGCTGGGGACTAAGATTCTTCTTCTCCGCGAGCTCCTGGCCGAACTTCAAGCAGAGGACGACGACACTGGATTGTAGAGGGCGCCCGTACCGCACCCCCAGCAAATCAGATGGTCTGTGCCGCCAAAGCAGGGGTGTAACTACGGGGCTGACGGCAACGTGGGAAGGTCTTTCCCTCGCGAGTGTTTGCCTCATCGGCTTCCCTCTCATTTGACATTTCGGCATGGACGCAATCTTTATACAAGCCGGAATTTATAAGCTTTCATTTATGTATCTAAAAAAAAAGTGTGCATCCGTACTTCCCCGAAATTTCACGCGAGCCACAGCTTTGAAGAGATCAAGTCGAAACGGATGCCCGTATAAGCCATTAAAAACAAATCAAATATATTTTCTTTTACATTCAGAATGGATTGAAGTCTTTCGCCGTGAGTACGTTTTCATCCAACAAGGGTAGTACTTTGTACCTTTCCTGGTCTTGAAAAAAATCCGCTCACCGTGTTTCAGACACAGATGAATTCGACTTGCGACCAGCAGGTTATAGCGAACAGTGTCGTGTCTTATTCAGCGTTGAATTCCTAATGAGGGTCGTCACCATTTGGACTTACGTCAGAGTGTACAAGAAAGGCGCCATATCTTTCAACCTCTCCTATTTTTGAAAGGGGGGTAGATAGTTGTTCGGGCTCATACGTGGAGTGATGCAAAACCGATCCACAATCCCCGCCCACTGAGCACGAACGGTGCCCGGGCTTTAGATAGCGCAGCTATGCTTTACTGGGATGGGGTAATTGCAGGAATTTATTTGTGGGTGCGTTCGATTATTTTCCACAAGTTCACTCGGGTTAAATCTCCTCGCCATCGTTTCACTTTTTTGAAATAGCAAAACACAGTCATCCCCCAGGTTAAGGTTGCATGCTGTATGGAAGCTAATCAAACGCCCTCTATTTCAACAGTGGGACAGGTCTACGCTCATTACGTGCGCCGTAACACCGTTGAGATTTCCCAAAAGTCTTGCCAACATAATTATGCACTTCCCCTGCAAAATTCTGTGAAGGTATTTAACCCATCCCTTCACAATGCAAGGACTGAAGATACAAACAGATACTGTTTGCATTTGATTGGTCAAATCACTACGGGGTGGGACTTAATTTTCGTTAAGCGCTGATGCTGGTGCATATAATGTTTGTTAGCCGCGTTTGCCTGTAATAAAGAAAGTAATTTACACGAATCTTCTTGAAAGGTAGATTTCACTTTTTTATATCAGGCTTTTTCATTTTTCTCCAACGAATAGTATCCACACCATATAGTCTCAGTGTAGTCAGGCAGTAGAAAATACAAAAATGAAACACAAAAACACACAAACTTCTGCGAATGAGATTCGAATCTACGACTTCCAGCTTATGCGAGCATCCCTCATGGAGTCTGCCGGGTTCGGGTGGTTGACTCGAATCCCATGAAGCTGTGGATATCACAAGCTTACACTGACGTAGGCCTATATGTTTACAATGTATTCACAGTGTGGCGTGAGCCACATCAAAAACTCTTTCAAGTAGCTTTGAAATGATTAAGGAAGTTCCGTGCTAGGTATTAGTTTAGCGAATGCAGAGTAACTTTGCCGATGCCTGAGTGACGCCATGATGAGAGCGTTTGCACTCAACCATTTAAATGTGTATTTAATGTTGTGCATGTTAGTTACTACACTTTCCTGTACTGTTAGCGAAGTGTCTTTCTTTTACAAAATAAGCTTAATATTTTGTACCGTGTATGTTCGTCAGTTTGCTGCATTTCATGCAATCACGGGCAGAGTCGAAGCATTGGACAGTAAAACACAATCATAGCTGTTTGATGAAAAGCTAATTTGTATTGCAAATTTCCATTTTTTCAGACTTATTTTTAATGCCATACATTTCTACGGTTTGACAAGTTTTAGACAAGATGGTTAGGACAACAAATACGTTTCAAACAGTTCTGCAATCAAACCAGAAACACCTTTAATTAAGACCGACTTTCACCTAATCGTCTCCCAAACGATTCCATTGCAATAACTTGCGTTTAGATGTTTTCACGTACGTTTCAGAATTGCTTTTTTTTTCAATCAAGAATCTACAATCTGTCACCTTTAAAGCAGAAAAGCACGGTGGCTACAGCTTAAACTGAGTCAATGTTACTGAGCTTAATGCACGTTCAGCGCAAAGCGCATTAAATTTTCTATTTGGGAGTATAGCCATGGAATAGGGTGCGACGTTGGCGTGCCTGATCCGGATAACACCAACATCTCACTTCTCGACCGTTGAGAAGTCGCTTCTAACGGGAGTAAACTGTGTACCCCAAGGGTCTAGAGGCTACACAAAAGACAGTGTTACGTTGGCATTAATGGGACTCCGTGAAAAAGACCAATTTAACCAGAACAGTGCCCAGTTACGAGGTAGTTTTTTCAAGTACTTCAACATTTTAGCTGACCTTTCACACAAACGAGATGTCATTCCTTTTTTGTCCAATTTGATTTTGGGGCAGGCGTTAGAAATGCAAGCAGTAGTCTCCTCTGAATTCTTAGAAATAAAGTGGCAAAACCAACTTATTTCAAAATGTTTGTTCTCCCCTCCCCAGAAAGGGTTTTAAACTCGAATGGAGAATGATTTTTTAAATATCTAAAATGGTTGTAACTCTCTCCTAAAGATTTGTCTCTGGTGTCAAAAAACCCATGGCGAAAGTTATTATTACAGCAATTTGTTTTCAAATGAGTGGTAACAGACTTAATCTTGCTCAAAAAGCGCATTATGAATGACGTGCAAATATCATTTCCGTACACTTCATTTAAGGGGGCATGTGACCTGCGGCAGGGTTTGTGGCTTCTGATCACAGGGTACTAAACTTACCCCACAAGAATTTCACGAAATAGATATTTCAAATTTACACAAAAAGCAGGAGTTTTCAAGTGCCATTCAGTCGTCGCAAATTTAAGTGTTTTATATAAGGGACATACGGTCGAAATTTCAACCCGGGAAACTGAATTTGGTTTAAATGGCAGTGATTTGATATTTTTTCCGTGTTGTGTGGGAATTTTGTACACGAGAACAAAGGATATACCCAGTGTGTGCGCATCTCTGGCCCTTTTTTCTCTATTCTTGTCTGCCAGAACCCGTCTTTTGTAGTGTACAACTCTTCTACAAATTTCTTAATTTCTACAAAGTTCTTTTCGTTACGTAAGTTTCTTAAAATAGACTCTTTAGCAGTATTCCACCTTACACGAAACTTCCAGAACAGACAACTAGAATATTCTGGACAACGGCGAGGTAATCCACTGCGGCCTGGGGTCCAACGCGGATCACACACAGAATCAGGTGCGGTAGACTGCGTGACTGTAAATAACATTTGCTCTATCAAACAAAATGGCACCCATACCTCTTTAAAAAAATCACCAAATTGAGTTATAAGTTTAAAGAAATCCAGACCAAAAAATTGCCTGTATTTACAATTAAAAATATAATGAAGACACTATTTATTTTACAGTGTTTAAAGATAGACTGAAGTGCTTCCCTCCGCCGTCATACAACAAGAGTGATATTTTCACACCCCTCTTGTTCTGAATTTTAGTGTCAAAATTGTTAGTGTTTTTTTTCCTTTGATTTCCAATATACGTTGAACATGCCAAATGCCGTCCCCAGCCGTGTTACTCGAGACAGACCATTAACTTTCTCACATTCCAACGTTTTCCAGCATCTATGTTAAGCTTCAATGTATTCTTTACTCCACGCCACTGACAAACCATTAAACATTCTTTGGCGTGTGGGCATTGTCATGTTTGCACCTGTGTGACAAGGAATCTCCGATACCTCAGTGTTCGAATACTGGATGCATCATTCTGTTTATGGATTTTAAAAGTGGCGACTTTGTGTATTCTACTCAAGCGCAATCGAGTACAGTGGGTCTGTGTATAACGGTTCGGGTGTATTCGATACTAGTTCTGTAGATTACAGTTGTCTAGCAAAGTCGTTAGCTGAACTATGCTGCTCACTTAGTAAGCTTAAGTTGTACCCTGGAGTGAAATAAGTCCTACCTGAGGAAGCATGGAAACTAATTCTGAAAAAGCGGTGAGCAGTGGTCGTTTGCTCAATTCTCGCTCGCGCTGAAACGTTGAAAAGCATAACACAGCTTTTATACAGGATCCACCTGCTAGTGAGTACTCGAGAGTAATATTAGAGGGCGCCCTCATTTTCCACTGGTAAAAAAAATTACTGGCTGGCGATGCTTGGGTTTTACTTCATGTCGTAGAGGTCCAACTCCTCGAGTAGTTCGTTGAGGAGTCGGAGTTTTTCCTGTACCGTGTCGGCGTCCTTCCCCCGCCGCTCTGCCTCCAGTTCTGCCCAGTCGCGTTCCTCGGGTGTATCCGGGGCAACATCACTGAAACAAATTCCAGAACTTGAAGTTGACCAAGCGGCTAAATCAAAACCCTGTGACACCTAAACATAGCTGGATACAAGCATGACTGTCCTAGTGCTGGGGGCATATAGCTCTCGGCGAGGGCGGGGATCACTCAACAGCCGTAAATGTGGGGTTAAGCAAATGAAGCGAGTGTAGAGGGCAGCGGCGTATCATGACAGTCGAACCTCGTTAATAAGAGGTTCTTCAGACTTGGCAAACTACCTTGGTATAACAGGAACCCTGTATTATCAGGAATGAAAACAATGAAAAAGAAAGGATTGGGACCTGACAATTTCATTGTCTTAAGCAGAATCTTGTATTAACAATGCTCTTCTTAACGAGGTTCGACTGTATAACTTTTGGTGTCGCGGGGAGGGCGGGCAACCTCAAAGCACATGCGGCTGCAGACTCATTCAACATGATGTTGGGGGAGAACAAATTCAAATGGTTACTTTGCCATGGGTCATGGCGCTAATATGAATATACCGATTACTTTTTGTCCTACTCACCTACGATGTCTTATTTGTCAACGAATAAAATCGGTCGGGGCGGGGAAAGTGACCCCCCACGCAGCCCCTTCCCCCGCTGGATACGCCACTAGAGGGTTATGCAGTGGTGATCTTTATGCTTGAAACGACACTGGTGACTGTCTGTCGTTTCATTGTGTTATTATGCTGAACAAAGATCAAATCCTCAGCAAACCTTAATTGATATGATTTTTTTACATCGCCTGAACGGCGTCAGATTCTCATTGTGTAATTCTGGAATAACAAGGAAAGCTACACTGTTCCCGACATATGGGAAATTCGCCTCCACAGACAACTCGAGCTTGTTCAAACCCTGAAAGGACCGGAAGCAGAACCCCCTCAGCATAATTATTTCTCCAACAGAGGGTTTCCGTGGCTCCAATCTGGCTTTTGTTCCACAGGGTGTGGACAAAGGAGGTTTCCATGTGGAACAAAAGAACTTCCCTACAAGATGGCTCCCACGCAAAGCCTGCACATCGTCGCAATGCACAACGGATCATCAACATCAAATCACCATGACATAAAAACCATATGCCATATTTGATTGAAATTTCGCATGTGCACTAATGGACTCCTTTACATGTTTGTGCTTGCCAACAAGACCAGGCATGTAACAGCTGAGCTTTTGAGGGGTGGAGTCCGCCCCCAGCGTTGGGATGTTTATAAAAACTACTCTAAAGCTCACACACAAAGAAAATTGGCTCGCGTAGGGTTACTCTGCTGAGCAGCATCGTGCAGGGCTTACCTACATGTAGGTGGTGCAACTTCCTAAAAACAGATCTTCAGATCTTTCCCTTCTTTTCTTTGTGTCTTCAATTGAGCCCAATTGATTGAAAAAAATTAACTTTAAGATAGAATACGTTTACTCAATAACTCGAAGTGACTTACCCCTGCCTTTGTGCCTCTAAGATTCTCTTTATAAACGATGTGTTGCTTCTGCAATGGGCTCTTCTATTTCCAGCTCTCATTCTAAAAGTGGCAAAAAAAGGTGTACCACACTTTGACAAAGCGGTAGCACCCACTGTTCATTGTCATGTGATTCTATGTCATTAATTGTCACTGATCGACAAGGTCTTCACCTGCAATCTGGGTTGTCGGACAAGCCTGGCATTCTTTAGAAAGTGCTTATTCATGAATAATGCCTGCTGACCAGAGGGGCGATTGGACGAGTCACCGGACTGAGAGGCTCTGCGGCCGTACACAGAATATATAACAGTCAAACAACCATCAACTGTTTCACAGTAAACTGCAATTTTCAAATAAAAGGTTCGGATATAAGTATTCATGATCATCCCCTATATTTTTAAATATCGCAAAGAGAGTATTGAAGACGATTACAAATCTTACGCGCAGCCGTTTTTGCGTCCCCTCCTTTGGGCTTCGGTTGGCATAGCGACCACTGCCATTATGCCAATGACCAGCAGAAACATGGCGATGGACTTCGTCATGATGGCGTGTCTCCTATAGTGGAGAACGAGACAACAAATAGGCAAACCTGGAGGGGAAAAGGGAGAGATTTTCCGATTCAAATAGTATGCCACGGTCTGTCAGTATGTTTGCAAACCACAGCTTTGAGGATAGCAGTGTTCTGGGGCGGGTTCATCACATGGGCGTGAGCTTGTGTTACGAGTCAAAGGTCAGGTGGCAGTTAAACACGAGGGTGTTAATATTTACTTCACAATTTATGCAGTGGTGTCATGAACTAAACTGCAAGGGAAGATGGGAGGTCACTGAACAGGGGCCACGCCCCCAAAGGTTCCGTTTTCTAAAAATGAAAGGCGGTTATTTTGTTAATTTCCTTTTACCCCATAATTCAAGAGCTCCAAAGTAATGAGCCTGGCCCCTTTGGAAAGTCCGCAAAAGGTTAAATCAAAAAATGTTACAAATTTTTGCCTCCTCCCAAAAGAAATCCCCCCGGAAACTCGGTTTCGTCCTCGCTCGAGTGCGGTGCTTCTTACTCGTCATATTGCATAAAAGTTGTGCACAAACGGCGACAAAATACGCATCCCCTTCATGACAATAAGGAATTATTGATCTGGCAGTGCGCAACGAAGAAACCAAGACGTTTCCTTTCCTGAAACAAAACGAGCTTTTATTTTCGATACCCAGACTTATCTCTGGCTCCAGTTAAGCTGAGACGGAGGAGTGCACTGCGTTTTATAAACGTAATACAGGTAATCGATAATAATCTAGTCCGTGGTTGTCAAATGACTTACCAAGTACGGAACGTCAGCAGATTCTTACACTGTAATGTGGTGAGAGACCCTGAAGCTGTAATGTGACCAAAGCAGAGATAGGTTTTGCTCAAGGTTTATTCCTGACGCTGATCATGACGGTTTCCTCTTTATCTCAGCGCCGCTTGACAGCTATGGGAGACGATTTCCAGCGTCAATCCATCTCTAGTATGCACGGTTGGGTACACCTCGTGAGGTAGTCCTATCCATGTCCTATCGTTGTGTTTGGTGACAGCGTAGGTCTACAGCGTACCCCAAAACTCTACCCGCCCCCGCACTGGTCAGCCGAAAAGTAAACTTTGCCAGCGTGTCATCAGATAAAGCCAAGGCTGTCGTTAATTATCAACCACAGACTGATAAACAGTGCTCATAGATCTGCTTAAGCACAAACTTTGCTTAAGCAGGAAAAAACTTTGCTTGGTAAACAATGGTTACCAGTTAAAACTTATTGTCATGCTAACCCAAAAACAGTTAAATGCAATCCCAAAACAATATACATCACATGGAGTTTGGGCTGGTAACCTGATTTATCAAGCAAGGTTTTCTCGCGTTTAAGCAAATTTTGTGCTTAAGCAGCTCTATGAAATTGGCCCCAGCTGGTTGAACCATGGAGGCAGAACGTACGTAGTGGGCCTGCCTAATGTTAACTGTAATATTGCTCGACGGTGCGCCCATGCTTACAACTTACAAGTGCAGGAATGCCAGACGTGAGAATAAAACAACATTTTCAGATGTATGGAGGCTTAAAATGGACATCTGCTTTACTAACATCAAAATAAGAAAAATAGCAGGTTGAACTTATTGTACCATGGATTTTTCTACTTCTCTGCATTTTTACTACCACAAAAGGAGCTTAATGTCTTGCCACATTTAATTTTTGTATTTTCTTTCCAGGAGACTTTTCTTTGACTTTTCACCGTTCGCTTGTGGTTCGGAAACGGACTTCTGTTTTCCCGATTCGCTTCTAGCAGCATCCGATTTCACCCAACTTTACGAAATAGTGTAACTTTACTTACGCCATATTTTATTGCGTAAGTTACGCAACAAATTAAGACCGATTTCACGAAAGTTACGCACTGCGCCGGTCCTCGACTTACGCAACAAATTATGGTGTAATTTACAGAGTCGGTTTAGGTGGCAAACTGAGTTGCGCAAACCGAAGCGATAATGAACAATTTGATTCAGTTATCGTGTTCGGTTAAGCCTCATCATTACTGAACTTAACAAGGCTTACACGAGAAAAGTACAACTGCAGTAGTTAATGAAAAAGTTGTTTGACCGTGAGAGAAGTACGAGATTTTCAAAATGCCGGGCAGAGGTGATTCAACGGCTGTTTTTTGACTGTTATAATATTGGAAAGGAACAGCCGCCGTAAAAGCTGTTTTTGTCCTTGTACAGGAAATTTTACGTCTTCAAGTCGTGATTGGGCCCTCGTGCACAAAATGTACATGTACAGTACAAGGATTTTCTATAGGTCTTGCCCGTCGGCCGGAAATGGCCTACTATGTGATACTTTTGGCGGCATGGCACTGAAGTCGGGCGGGGTTGCAAGGTTTTTTCGAGAGTGCAATGCGAGACGATTGGGTGGATGGACGTCGTGATGGCTCGGCCGGGAATCACATACATTGGCACCGGTTTAATTGTCCAAGCAGTTGTGATTATAGTGATGGCGAAATAAAAGAAATCCAGTCCACTTGAACACCCAAATCTTTCAGTGCCTGCTAAACTTTCTTTTTGCCTGCCTGGCCTCCAATTCCCCCTTCAGGGGCGGCCGGGCCGCTACACTAATAATAATAGTAATAATTGAAAATTTATAATGCGCCATTTCCATAAAATGATCAAAGGCGCAGTACAAGTTAACGTAAAAAAATAATGGATTTAAGAAATGAAAGGATACATGAATGTCACTCCGCTAGTACCTAAACCGCTGTAGGGGGATATGTCTGCCCCGTCCACCCGGAGAACCCAACCCTGCTGGCATCGGTGATGTCCTGATCTTTCCCGGGGACAGACGCCTCTAACCCTACCTACGATAACAGAAAAGTAATTATACCAAACACGGTGACATTAAAATAATGAATCACAGTTAAAACTATGTTAAACTTAATGATAACAATAACCTTACTAAATAAAACTAATAAAATCAAGAATCTTGCAGTGCAATATCACTGTGCAAATGCAACATTAAAAAGGTCAGTTTTCACTTTAAATTTAAAAACGGCAAGGCTCTGCTGGCACCGTATGTGCCATGGCAAGGCATTCCTTAATTTAGGAGCAGCCATTGCAAATGCCCTGTCACCAAGAGTAGGTGGCGTTTTACCAATGGGTAACTTACTTTGCTGACCTGTGATGATATCTAGACCCCTTCTAATGATGACAAGATTCATTAAGTATCTAGGAGCAAGACCATGGATGGCTTTGTATGTTAACAGGATGATTTTGAAGTTGATCCTGCACAAAACAGGTAACCAGTGAAGATGATACAGTATTGGTGAATGTGTGGTAACTTGGGTGTATTCGTTAGAAGTCTAGCTGCAGCATTCTGGACAAACCGCCATACAAAAGACTATTACAGTATTCCTGACGGCTGGTCACCAATGCATGAATTAACACTGAAAAGCGAATCGGGAGAGAGGAATTTACCGATGCGCCTAAGGTGGACAAATGCTGCACAACAAGCCTTAGTGATGTGGGTGTCCATTGTCATTTCTGAATCAAACCATGATCCCAAATTCCTGACGCACGTGGATGGAGGGGTTACAGAATCGCTCACCGTGACGTTGGAAATGTTTATTTTCTGCAACTGTTGCCTGGTTCCAATGATCAGGAATTCACACTTAGCGTCATTGGTCATAAGCCTGTCTTGCGGCATCCAATTTCTAATGTCCAAAGTTTTCATTGTAGCTGGAGCAGTTTGGCAGGAAGTGTCATCAAGTTTAAATGATTAATACAACTGTGTGTTGTGTGCATAACAATGAACATCAGGCAAATGGTCTTCAATGATGTCAAATAGTTCAGAAGCATAAACCGTAAGTGGTCCTAAGCAAGACCCTTGAGGGACACCACAGTTTAGGTCAAATTTCTCTGACAGAGTACCCTGAATGGAAATACGTTGGCTTCTGCCAGATAAATAAGATGAAAACCAGGCCAGATCTTTACCAGATATCCCGACTTTAGATTCTAAACGTTGCAACAGACTGGAGTGATTAACTGTATCGAAGGCAGCACTTAAGTCCAAAAGAACAAGCAAAATGACATGCTGAGAGTTCATTTTCAGCAGTATATCACTCTTGACCTTCATGAGAGCCGTCTCAGCGCTATGATACTTTTGGTAAGACGATTGAAAATCTGGAAACAGAGAATGTTGACATGTGGGAGTAATGCTGATTACACACAGCTCTCTCTGTCAGTTTAGAAATGAATTGGAGATTACTAATCGGTCGTTAATTTTCTAAAATCGGATCGAGGTACCTCTCTTCAACAAGGGCGGACCAAAGCTTCTTTCTGGTCCCTTGGAAATACACCAGACTCTAAGGAAGAGTTGATAATCCGGGTAATAACCGGAAGTAAGTATTTCTTTGTGGACTTCACAAGTTCTTCAACCTGTGACCTGTTTAGTGGTTGAAATCGATCAATCAAGATGCAACACGACAAAGGCGAATCAGGTACTGGATGAGAAGTTCGGCTTGCTACGGCTGAAGTTAAATTATCAAGCCTAACATGGATATTTGATATTTTCTTCTCAAAAAAGCTACCTATGTCATTAGCAAGAGACAGTTTGTTGGTATACAGTGGGAAAGGAGCATCATTAGTGTGCCCTGCGGAGGGTCATGACCAGGTATAACCAGACTAGTTTGTCCATATTTTGGACCATTTAACTAATGCCATCTTAGATGGCACCGGACGGGACAGCTTCTGCACTAAACAACCCCCTGAGTGAACTGCTGGGGGTGCATTCCAAAATGTAGTCTTACATAACTACCATCTCTGGTAGTCTTGGTATCCTTAAGGAATCCGATTGGTTGAATACAGGTGACACAGAATAATACTACGAGTTAACGTCGAAGACATTCACGCAGAATCATGGCGGTCATGATACTCGTCCATACACAGCTAGAGAGGCAATGCCGGACCAACAGTACTAGTTGGAAATCAAAGTTACAGCTACCATTAAAATATTAAAAATACGACAGAAAAACTACGAAAGTCTTACCAATTACAAGAAATACATAGCAAATGTTGATGGCTAGGAAAAATGGAGAAAAAGTACGATTTAAAATATCTACAACGAAGCCAAATTTAAGAAGTGGCAGCTACAAACAGCGCCCTTGAATGTGTCTGGGAGTTGTTCTCGGCAGTATTGGAGAGCGCCCTCTTTTGCCATAGCATTGACCATTTCTTGCTACGTAAGTTTATGCTAGGATTTTTGTATTCTTGCAGCTAATTGATGGTGTTCCGAAAAAATCCAAACAGTCTATAAATATGGTCGAGACTTCTCACGTATTTTTAAGTCGAAAACTATGTCTCTCGTCAACATTGTGCACCAAGGACGGTTTTATGGTTTGTCGTGATGTTTGGCAAAGGACAGAATTTGGGATTTTCAAATACCAATATGCCCACACGTATTTGTTGATAATTACACGTTCTTAAAATTCTTAAAATAAGCTTATCGGGCCCACCCATGGTACGTCGGGGCCACCGTAAAGGGCACAGTAGAATCACAGACTCGAACGCTGCAATAATTAACGATGAATTTATATGTAATCGACACAGATGACGCAATGAACTAATCTTTACATATCTACCAGCTGCTGTTTGGATATAATCATATGTCTTTATTCACCTCTTATGTACATTTTCGGTAACAGGATGTGAGAAAGTAAAGTAAGACCTATCCGATTCGTGATTTGCCATAACCACACTGGTTTCAATCTTTGAACTGTCTATACTGCCTAGCAATTCCACCTTCTTAGAAAATAAATCAGGGCACCAGACACCAGTTAGCACACGAGGTGGTAAATAGACTGGTCACCTTCACTTTCGTTGAGTTGGTATTTCACAGGCTCTGAGTAGATTTCATTCAATTCCTTCCAAACGCAATTGCAGATGAACACAAGCATTCAGAGCGTGATTAACGATCCAGCTGATCTGGTTCCTTGAAGACAGCAGTGACCCGCAGAGTGATGATCTGCACTTAAGATACCCGTGACCAGGCTACTTTTTTTTCCAGTAGGAAAACGTTGCATTGGCACTTTCCCGTGACAAAAATTATAAGTGCAAGCTAAGACATTCGCTCGTGAATGAATTCCCTTTGACCCGTTTTTCAGAGCCTTGGGGGTTCCCCGGTTCTATACTGCTGCATCTGTTTAGGACAAACACCGCTCTGCGTCCCTCACGTAACGATACTCACAACCTCAAAATTGTTTCGATCTCTTTTTGTTGTAACAATGGTAAAACCCGAATGTCTTGTTGATAATCTGTGCAGCAAACAAAACAAGATGAAAACCTGATAGTTCAGTGTGTTGCAGCGGTAAGAAATACATGCATAATGTGAAACACTGCTCGGGTGAAAATTATGCTCTACTTCCCAAAAACACCTGCCGTTATGATCTGTACATAAAAGGATAACAATCCTCATGCATTTTATCATCTTTTCAGTCCACTAATTGTTCATTACTAACAAAAGAAAGTAAAGACTCAAGTTTACACTTAAATGAACGGTGGATTAAACCACATCGGCACTTCATTGATTCTATTTACCTGACAGCTTAATAACGCACGACCTCGTCATAATCATTTGTATAACTAATTTTAAAAACGCCACCTTAAAACCAGCATTTATTAGAATAAACAGTTGCTCACAGGTTTGATTTTCTTAGATAGACTAATAGAACAATCGGCAATCATATCCAATCATGATGATATCGTATTTCAGCTATATAGGAAAGTAATTCAAAACAAAAGTTTAATATAAAGTCTCTTTAGAAAACAAAGCTTTATAATACGTGTGTTAAGTAGCTGGAAGAAAATAGTTAGTGGCAGCCTCGTTGCCATCTGGTAATGAGCACGCATCAGCATTGTATTGTAAGGTCAGGAACCAGACTTATGCAATGTTGCTCTCACTTTCCCTTGCACTGGAGCCAGAAATTTTAAAATCAAATCAAATAACTGCACACTGAAATGTTGGATTTTTTCAATTTTTCAAATTTCCTTTAAAGCTGTGAAACAGGAGAGAAAAACAAGATAATACAAAAACGAAAAAGAATCTATGCCACACAGCGCTTCCGGGAATCGAACCCAAAACTCACGAGGTCAGCAGTGACGCCTATGCCATGTTAGTAATGAAGTAAAAACACTGCGTGCACATGTGCGTTACTAAGGAATGTGGTGCATCGCTGCGTGGCGCTATACTTCCATCGACGAGAACGAGGCTATCACTAACAGGCGCAGTTTGTATGGGCGGCGCCAGCTTGGTTCCATCTCTGTGCATCGTGAGAGTGATACGTAAACGGCATGTTTAGTCCCCACTTATTTATCTTATTGCATAAGACCAGATAAAGAGCTCTTTCACCAGCAGCAACAAGTTTGTGAACATGAAACTGCACACATACGGCATGAACCGGAGACTATTGAGACACACGGTGGCGACAAACATTCAGATCCTTTTCTGTTGTGTCATATTTTGTTCATCGGCTGCGTGCAATGATATTGTCTTCATTTGACTTTCGTTGAGTCATTTTGGAACACCCATATTTTTGCTCCGCTGACAACAAACCACGATAGAATTCTAGCAACAAACAAGACTGAATAATGCAGTTATTGAGTTCAGTTCATCATTCGAGTTGACACCGGCTTTGAAACACTTAGGCTGCATCCGAACCCGTTGTCTAGAGCTAGGTCTAGGTCTTCTCTCCATTGAAAGTACGTGGAGACGCGCAGACAGTAGACCTAGCCGTAGCTCTGGAAGCCCGTTTCGGACACAGGATGATGCCCACCTATGTATCAACTTCTACGCATAGTTAGTACTGACAGACATGAAATAAATGTGAGATTGGACTTGCGTGAAAGAATATTTTTTTAAATGCAAGTCCGTGTGGGATATCGTGGTGAATAAGCAACACTCAATGTGCAAGCAGCCGGTTCCACTGTCCGACAATTCCGAAAGGTCTTGATCAATCGCAGATAAAGTATAACCATCCTGATCTTAGAGGCCCCATACAAGATATAAATGTTGTGCTCCACAAAAAGGCCATCGTAAAAGGGTGTTCGATTTGGCCGACAGGTGTGTGGGGCTTGACTAAAGCTGAAACCCTTCTGGAAATCGACAAACAGACATGACCGACATTAAGATGTAAAATAAACCCATTGAAATTACACCCACCAAAACAGTGCTTATCATAAGCAAGAGCCATCGACGGTGTCGACCGCTGAGCACTGGCAAATCACCGTGCTCCGGTCTAAAGGGCTCTTATATTTTGAAGGAGCTTCCCTTGCCTTAATCGGAAAATGTACTTCTCGCTACACGTGGAAAAAACAACATTCCAATAATGGGTCAAAACCTCTGGAAGTTTAATCTGG